CCTGCCTCTCTGCTTACTTGTGATCTCTGTCTGTCAAATAAACAAAATCTTTAAAAAACAAAAAACAAAACTTCTGATCCTTCTGGTTCCTCCTCAGACAGTTGCATGAAGTCCTCCCCTTGAACCACTCCACCAAAAAAGCTTCATTAAGTTCGAAAAAATGTCTTAAGGAGCACTTTAAAGGGTGCGGTCTTTAACCTTACCTGAAATTTCTCATCTTTGGCCCTATTTCTTTTTGAAATTTGCCCTCGGTTTCCCTAAGTTACGTGCTCCTGATTTCCTCCTTGTTCTTTAGCCTCCTCTTCTTTATTCATCTCACCCTTCCCTAGAGCTTCCTCCTCAGGTCAGCAGGCTTCTCAGCACACTCTCCATGGCACTCCTGATGGAAACCATTAGCGATCACATGACTCCCAAACCTGTATTCTCACTGTTATCTAAGGTTCCAGACCTGTCTCCTGTAGGCTGTTGGCTGTCTTTGTCTACAGGCCCTCATGCACCTCAAACTGAAAAGTCCCTAATACATCATCTCATCTTCTCCCCACTCCAAACCTGCTAGTCTACTGGAGTTCCTCCTCAGGGCATGACACAATCATCCAAGTTGTCATCTTAGACCGTCCTCCCTTATTCTGCCCCAGCCCCATTATTTATCCCCAACTCCAACTTCTGCTGGTTCTACTTTGTTAAATCTCCCCCTCAAGTTTTTCATCATCCCTGCATTCTGGTGCTCACTTTTCTCCCTTGGATTACTGTATCAGTCTTGAAATGGTTGGTATCCCCTCCTGTCATTTCTCTATATTACTGTAAAACAATATTTTAAATTTATTGGTTTATCAAATTATAAAATACATGCTTCTTGCAGAAAACTGGATTAAGATTTGAAACAAATAAAGTTTAAAATGACTTGCAATCTAAGAGAGTCACAACCCAAATCTCTTTAGAACATTTTGTATGCATGCATAGAACTATACAAGGAAATGTTTATGTAAATGTACTTATGCTAATGTTTATACAGTATATTTAATTAGAAAACCAAGGCCACATTATATATATAGTTCTGCATCCTTTTCTACTTAATATACTGTGAATGATCTTCCAAATCAAACATTTTAAAGTGGTTATGAATTAAGGCTGCAAAATAATGAGACACATGAAATATATTGTGGAATAGTGCACTTCTGTCTCTCTGATTTGTTTTCTTCAATACCAAAACTTACCCCGAGCATTTATAATGTATGAATCACAAGGACTTAGATTTTAGTAAGAAATGGGGAAGGAGAAAAATACAGAACACTCATTTTAAGTTCATTTGCGTTCATTAGATACTATTTAAACCACTGTGTATTCTATACTCACTATGTGTCCTGCCTCCGAGCAATCTATAAGTCTACGTGATAGAGTTAAGGTACAGGTACATTTTAGGTGAGTAGACAAGCTCAGTAGGAAAGCAATTTGACCAAGCACTTTTTCTTCTTCACATTGAATGACAAGAATTATAAGAGAAAACCTTTGGGAACTTTGTCTTAGCTTGACTAGTCAGAGAAGCGTGTTTTTGTTTGATTGCTTGGTTTTGTTTTGTGGACGACTGTCATCTGAGTAAGCAAGAATATTTCAGAGCCACGAAGACCACCTCATTTCTGTGTAAGACAGGTTGTCCATGCTCCTTTTTGACTACAGGCTGGGAAAAAGACTCCTACATACTAAGTCCCCATTTTACTTTTCAGATAGGAGAGACACTAATTTCACAAATACTATATTTTAAAGGATTTTGCTAAGTTGTCAAACTGCCTTTCAGAATGGGTGGTCTTTCTAAAAGACAGATCTAATTACCTTACTTTCCTGCTTAATCTCGAAAAGGTTCCCCTTATTTTCAGGAAAATGGCTAAACTTTCTCGCTTAGTGTACATATAAGGAATTTCAGGATCTCTTTCTGGTCTCTTTAGCTTCATCTTACCCTACTTCCCCAGACCATTTTTCATATTTCTCATACTTAGGGTTTCCGAAATGTCTATTTCATGTTAGTTCATGTTTTAGTACTTCCAGATCTCTTCTGTCCCAGAAACGCCTGGCTGCTTTCCCTTCCCCCATTTTCCCAAGGCTAGTCCTCCTTTTCTTTCAGGACTCAGTTCAGGAGGTGATCTTTTTTTTTTTTTTTTTTAAAGATTTTGTTTATTTATTTGTCAGAGAGAGAGAGGGAGAGAGAGCATGAGCACAGGCAGACAGAATGGCAGGCAGAGGCAGAGGGAGAAGCAGGCTCCCTGATGAGCAAGGAGCCCGATGTGGGACTCGATCCCAGGACGCTGGGATCATGACCTGAGCCGAAGGCAGCTGCTTAACCAACTGAGCCACCCAGGCGTCCCAAAACAAGGTGTATTTTTAAGATGTACATTGGTACTTCTAGTACTTGGCAGTCATACCTGCATCCAGGATATTGCTGTGCCAATGATTTAAATTCCCCATGTCTCCCCTTTCTTCTATCACACAACATAATCCCTTCCTTCCTGCTCTTTAAACACACATCAAGGTTAAGTCTTATTGCTAATCACTGAAGGGAAATAGAGGTACAAATAGAGGCAAGGCTGGTAAAACAAATAAAACACAACACTGGGAACTTATAAAAATTTAATACATGTCCAAAGTAATTATTCCCTCTTGTTTGGTGATGTAAATGAAATAAACACTGTATTTCTGAAAGCCTGAAACTCAAGGTTTCTTTTTTCGATGGTTTGGAGTCTCTCTTGGGTTCTATCTATTTATTTAGTGTGGTCTTCAAGGTAGAACAACTTGTGTGAATCCTTAGGCCATTTTAATGGCCACTTTCATAGTGGTCCCAGATTTCTGTGGAAAATATACATCCCAGAGTTTATCTACATGCTTCTTTCATCTCCCATATACACTGGGGTAAAGGCTTCATTGGTATTAGTCAAAGAAAGCAAACCTTCCATTGACCCCACCCTCTACCCAACTCACATGCTAGTCCTTGATAGAAATAAAGTCCCATTTGGCCCTGGGTTGAGTAGCATTTCTGGGGAAGGAATGAACTGCTCCTTCTCAATCTATACGCTGTACTACCACGGTTGCACTTTGACCTCATCCTTGGTGCTTTATGGTCTGACTAAAATATATTCTCTAAAGAGTTCAAGATGGTTCTATATTCAGTTTAAGCAACTTCTACACTTATTAATCTAATCCAGTATTAATGTCTTTTCTGAAAATTCACTGATTTTGGTAAGATATGCCACTGTTCATTGAATTCTTCTGATGACCAGAAGTGGGTTTCCCTTGACTCTTCAGAAACACGTGGTCTGGAGGCAGAAACATGAACACGTTTTTCAAGTATCTCTATTGTATCTGCAACAGTAGGAAGTAGCAGATATGAGAGTACAGCTGCACATTTGCTGAAATTCAGCTAACTGAAAATGATTTACTAAGGTGAAATGGTTCATGAATGGTAAACATTCAAGGAATGAGATATTGAGGACTATGGAACTATTTTTACATAAGAAAAATTTAATAAAAACTTTGAAAAATGTTCAGTATCAGAATTTTAAAATGTAAATACATTACATATAACACACACACAATGCATTCTAGTAATTAAGATAATGAAAGCTTCAAAGTACCACAAAATTTAATAGAAACAGAAAACTTTATTTTTAATAACATCCTTAAATCTGCCTACCAAGATCATAGTAGATAACCATTTAAGAATTTTTATTTTATTGAAATTAGAATTTTACATACAAAATCAGCTAGATTTTTTTGAAAACAATAAAAACTCTTATTTACTGTGGAAAAATATGAACCATTTTGATGAATGAAAAAAAATGAATGTGAACAGGACAGAATGGTTTTCTTTTTATTTGCTTGGTTGTCTCTCCTATTTTTATTCCTACAAATTAATAAAGTCAGAATGATTTTATTTGCTTCACTGTCTATGATCTAGTTTGACACAAATGTGGATTACTTTGGTATCTGCTGAGATATAATTGAGAAGGTTCTTTAAGACTGAATAAAACATTGGACTGGGTGTTCAATATTTTGAAAACTGAATAAACAAAACTAACTGAAATTTGTGGTCACAGAGGATTTGTCATTTTTCTTCCTTTGCCCATATGAAAATACATTAATAGAAAATTACCAATGGAAAAACATTTTTAAATTTATGTTACATTCCTATCAACTTTAATAATAATGCTTAGTTAGCAATTATATCAATTTCTTTCACTAAGTATTAATACTTTGGAATTAGAAGTAGATGAATATTTGTATTCAGACATTTCAAAACACATACCATACAAGGAATTACATAAAATAGTACTTTCTTGATACTTGAGATTTAACTTACTATTCTATTCAAAATAAATTTCTTTTTGATATAAAATAAATTGTTGCTTAAATCTCACTTGCTTGAAATTATTACTCCAAGAAACTATTTGTTACTTTTAACTATTAATAATCTTTAGAAAATAAGAATACCTATTTTCTTATAAGGATTTTCATTTTTGGAAAAAAATAAAATTCTAATGACTTCAGTGCACTTCTGGATTCTCCCATAACAAAGAATTAGATGCCAGAGTGACTACTGTTATAAAAAAAAAAAAAAAAAAAGACATTTAGAAATGCAAACTGGGTTAAAGAAAAATACTTGTATTACATTTTGTTATTCCAATGTTGAGATGTGACTTATACCTCTTAAGAAGCAACTTTTTTCTCTCACTTGTTAGCATCTTGTGTTAGAATAGACCACAGCAGTGCATGGGCCCCTCTGATATTCTGCACCTTTAAAGATATCTCCAACCAAGGTCACTCTTGTGGGGGATATGGGAGGCCCTCTATCTGCCAGAAGTAAGAGCAAGGGCCTAGTAATAAAAAAAAGTTTTTGTAAATTTCTGTATTTTAGGTTTGAAGCACTCTTTATTAAAAATCCATGATTTTTATTCTGACACCAAAGGGTTTTCTTTTCCTTAAAAAAAAAAAAAAAAGACCACATTTTAAGGTGCTGCCTAATATATATATAAATGTAAGAATGTCATTTGAAATCTAACAACACAATGCATGAGTCCTTTTCTAGATGGAAGATTTCAGAAAATTTATTCTTCATTCGGCATCTGAAAATAAAATAAACCTGAAATGGTAATTTTTAGAATTACAATGTGAAAAAGAAGTCCTCCATGGTTGAACCCAATTTACAAAAATTTCACGTTTTTCTAAGATTTACACTGAATACGACACTCCTCTTTAAACTGAATTGTGTGTGGGGGGGCGGTTATAGGGGGAATCAAGGGTTGTGAAGTGAATATTTTTTGGTAACCGCTCACTTTAAACTTCGGGAAAAATGTTTACTATATGACAAAAGTAAATCAAGATCATTACTCTTCTGTCACAGATGATTTCCTGGACTTGAGAACAAGGTCTTTAATGGATGAAGAAAGTTCCTGAAGCTCTTTGCGAGTAGTGTTGGTGATATCTTCTTGTTCTTTGTCTAATTCATCACTCAAGGGATCATCTCCCTGTCCAGTCTTCTTATTTTGACTAACTAAATGCTTTACAACTAAACCTTGATACTTTACCAAAAGAGTATGCTGATCCTGCGAAAAGAGAAAAGAGAAGAAAGATTAACAAACATATTTAATTTTCTATGGAACAAACCGGATTTGTTCAGCCAATACACCATGAAGGTCTTCATCTTTACAAATCACTGGCCATGTAAGTAGAAAGCTCAAACTAGTAAGGTTCTTACTGGCAAGGAGTTGACAGGTTAGGGGTGATCAAACATGAATACGCATCATTTTAATGCAAACTGACTCAGCTAAATTCTATTAACTAGAGATTAAGTCAAAGTGATATGGAAGTTAAAAGAAGCCAGATTCCTTTTAGCTGAGAAATTTCTCAGAAGAATTTGTGCAGGTTAAGACTTTTGGAACGGGTCCTTGAAGAACAGGTTAAATTTGAATAAGCTGAAATGGAAGACTTCTTTTTACCATAGATCTTATAGAATCCCCAAAAGATTCTTGAGCTATGCTGAGTTTTTAAAAATCAATCTTCTGATTCACTGTTCACATTCTTAGAACAGGAAGTCATATTCATATGTTTTGTGTCTTATTGTTCATGATGATTTATACCTATCCATTCAAAATATTCAGAATCTAAAAGCTTTAAAAGTTTCAAGTGTGTGGAAAATGTAATACCTCTGGAATTTTACTATTAAGAAAAGCAATGATCTGTGGGACACATCTTCCAGGTGCATGGAGCATGCTGTGGGTCGAGAACTGAAACAGAAGGACTGCTGTGAGGTGCAGAATAAGAGCAGGGTCTTCTGTGACTTTTAGCTGTTCAGCCAGTGCTTGTCGATGCTGGAACAGTATCTGCCTAAACAAAAATAAAATCACAAAAACACATTCTCATGTTTTAACAAGCTCTCACCAATTTTAGTTCTTCCCTTCTGTATTCATTTTTAGTCTTCTCTAGTTTAATTATCTAGCTCCATAAACATCTTCAGGGACACTTAAAATATGAAATATAGACACGTAACCCAAAATGCTGTGGATAAACTAATACACTAGAACATGACAGAGAAAACGATATAGCTGGGATCCTTAAAGTGTACTTTTTATTTTGAGTTGCTGGGGATCAAACAGAAGTGCACTGATATAGGTAAGATTTCCTGTAAAGAAGGTCTCAAAGCTGGTATAAAGTTCCCAGGCTTGGGATTAGGAAGCCTTGCTACCTTATTGATACTGGTCAGAGAGGGCCACCTATGTATTGGATATGCTCGATGGTATGCAGCCATTTGGATACAAGCATTCTTTGTGCAAGATTCAGAGAGTCAAATTCCAACTTCGGATATGAAATATCACACATCTAAGAATTTATTAATAATACAGATTAATTCAATGTTACCTTTCCCTTTTTTTGTCTCCCCTTTTCACCATAATATCGCAAGCTTCTGCCGCAGAATCCAGACAAGAAAGAAAGTCTTCTATGCTCTGAAATAGGTATTTAATACAGCGATTTACTTTTATTAACAGGTTGCCTAAAGAAATATAGTCACTTAATGGTTTTGTAATTTTACATCCTAAATACAATTTTTTAAAAGGTCATTTTGTTATTGAACTTGAAATTATGATTTAGGATAAAATGTTCCCAGCCTGTTCTCCCCCTTTACTTCTAGAAGAGATTGAGTTTATATTTATTCTGATAAAAATCTACTCAAAGATCACAAATTCTAGTCCCATTATCTAAACAGAATCAAACTTTACTTACCTTTTCATTCAGAGAGCTATGGAGTTTTGTGAGAGCTACTTTGGTTTCTTCTGATAATTTACTTAAAATTTTTTTCCTTACCTATAAAGGGAAAAAAGTTCTCTTGGGATTGTGACTTTGACATGCAGTAGATAGAAGATCAAACAAAAGAAAACAAAGCATATTCATTTATTACTATAATAGAATTACTATAATAGAATGCGGAATGGAATTTATCCTTGTTTGTGAACTTCAGCTTTCAAACTAGGGACAAAAACATTCTAAAATTGGAGAGCTAGCCAAAAGCCAGTCAGCCAATCAAGCTAGGTATAGCCCTACTCCTCCCTTTTGGCCTAGAAGCGGAAGAGAAAGATGGGGAGGGGAGGGAGAGAGAGAAAAGCACTCATCTTTTGGGGAAAAGAGAATTTGGGGTTAAGAGGCTACTCCCTCCATTTTCCATTGGGGTGAGAAGAATATTCTTCCCTAATGCCGGATGAGGGGGTTCCCACTCCCAAGTTCCAGAATGCCTATAAACTAGAGAACTTGCTCCAGGACTGGCTGGCTGTTACACTCTATGGTGGGCGGAATCTTTTCAGCATCCCTCTCCACATAAATGTATCTTGTGAAATATGATGGCATTCTTGACCAGAGTCTGATGGCCCTATGAAGTGTGAAATTTCTGGTGGAGGCCTAGTGGAATGGGTTGACTGAAAGTTACAGTGAATCTTGGAAGATGAGGGAGACCTACTGACTCCCTGTCACATGCCACACCAGTTCTTCTGTAGCCCCCAAAGGGCATGGGACAGGACCCCATGTGTTTCCCACAGCAGAGGTTGGCACAGAGGCAGGATTTATGGAATTGTCCAGGCAGTTGGAGAGTCACTGCTCAGGCTGAAGGTGGGAAGGCATACAGTACTGTGCTGGGGTAGGAGGGAGAAATAAATGTGTCTCTGTTTGGAGATTTAGGGGAAGGTCCTTGCTAAAGAGGGAGTCACATGCTAAAAAACAGCCTCAAAACAACCTACACCACCTGTGGGGCAAGAGATACATAAGGCCACAGAATTGGACCTAGATGATAACCAATGATACGCAGTCACTCCTATGAAACACTTTTGCCTCCTTCATTTTTCTTAAATCTCCAACTTTAAGTGGATCTATAGGGATAGAGAAGAGGAGGAGGAGGAGTCGTAGGGACAGATCACACCCCACCTTCTCTAAGCAACTGGGAGCCATAGCACTACCTTATATTTTGAGAGAGGAAGAAATGAACTTTGACTTTTTTTTTTTTTTGAACTTTGACTTTAGATTGAGATTAGCATTTTAACAAAAAACTGCAGTTCATCTAAATATTGAAATGAGATGGTGTCACTACTCAGAAATGACTGCGAAATTATGGAATCTGGCCAGAAAACAGTCAAGGGATCGGCAACTCAGCCAGAAAAATGGATGTGACATAACAAAAAGTAGGAAAAAAATAAGTGTTGATTCCAAAGTAATTAGCATTATTTTCAACAGACTGGTTATATCACCAATTTAAAATAAAAATCTGATTTTTTTTCCTTAAAAACCCTTTCCTTTATTTTACTTTCCTTTAGACTACTTCTTATGTGAGAAAATAAAATATGCTTTTATTTCAAAACATAATGCATCAAGAATACAAGAAAATCACTATCATACTTCACTTGTAATGGCTGCAGGATCGTCTACTGCCATCATTAAATCCGAAGCCAAGAAGTTGAAAATGAGGTTAGTGATATCAGTACATACTGTCTTCAGCAAGTGCTTTGTAAGAGCAGCTTGTGTATCATCTGGAAAATGAAGGTGCTTTATTAAAATGAATGTCCAGGAACAATTATGAAAATCAATGAAACAACAATATTAAGTATACCTGTAAAGAACTTCACCCCTTTTTCAAATAGCCGAATATTATTGTACAGGTTTGAAACCTCTTCTTGCAAGTCCTTGATGGTACGCTTTCTACCAGTTCCAGAGGCAGAAGAAGTTGAAGACATGAACACTGAACGTACCACTTCAAGATAAGTTTTATTAAGAGGTCTGTGCACAAGATAAATATATTTAGTTTATTAAAACGTACTGGGTTTATGCATATAAGAAATTTTGCTTCTATGGAAATAAGTCTTAAGAAAATACCTCTAGATTTTCTAAACAAATAAGATTAATTTGGAGTATAATTCACAAGAATTTGTCCTCTAATCCTAAGACTTAAATAACTTAAATGCATTATTTTTCTCAGTTTTAAAGTACTCAAAATTACTGCACTAAAGACAGCAAGAATAGCAGTAACAAAAGCTTTAATTCAAATTCAGTCCAAAGTAGTTTTTAAAAGTTAATTTGGAGAATAGGACATAAATCTGCTCCCCATACACAGGAATAATAAATTCTCAATTTCTAAAATTCTAAGAGATAATATATTCAAAACTTTTTTTAAAAAACTTTTTATGCTCAACAACTTCAGAATAGATTATTTTAAGTAATGGCAAATGGTTAGTAGTAACTATCTTTTTACATACGAAAAATATGATTATGTACTGTATTCATGCATCAAAAATATTCAGTGAAAAGAAAAAAAAACTACAAAAGCTGTATTTCTAAATTCAAAGTTAGATGCACTGGGCTCCTGGATTGCATTTATCAATGCTTATACACTGGAACTAACTTGAGGGGAAAATCATGTTAGCTAGTAATGGTCAAGTTAGACACAATTTCTTTTACTTCTGTATAAAAATAAATCTAGCTTGGCTCAATTTTAAGCTAGTGCTGTCTAAATTTGTTCTCTGAACACAGTTTGTTACTTTATTTCACCCTAAAAGTGTACTGTGTACTCTCTGTCAAGTCTAGGTAGATAAAGGTCTTTTCTTTTAGTTGTTACTTTTCATGCTATGTCAGAGAGCAGCCAATGACTGGTGGTGTTTTTCTCCCAACCAGGACTGAAACATCAATGACCGAGGATGCCTCCACACTCTTGCCTTTTATTTTCCACACTGCCTCATCCAAAGCACTTACATGTTTGTTAAACTGAACAGCCCCTATAGGCAAACAAAATCTGGAATTTGGTGGCTGGATGAAATTCTAAGCTTTGAAAAGTAAAGACCTAAAATCTATATTTTCCATGATGTTGGGTCAAAATTTTATTTAATAACTCATTGAATTTCTATCATAAAACAGAAAAAAATATGTTTTTATACTTACTTTATTAAGTACTCAGCAAGTTCAGAAATAAATTCCTCAGGGGCATCTTGTATGTGTTTTCTCAAAACATCTTCAATTTCATCCTGGAACATAAAAGTGATCTCTGGCTTCTTCTTTCCTGTCGTAGAAATGCGCAATAGGAAAAAGAACAAAACATAAAGCAACCTAGAAGCAAACAAGGCTCATTAACATATTTACTAAGATGGTAGTTCATTCACTGCCTACCATAAAGACTCCGACATTGCCAGTGACAGCAGTACCCAATGAAAACAATTTTAAAAAGAGTGGCATTTCTTATGAGTAATAATTTTCTAACTTTAAAAAATTTTTTCCCTAACTTTATTTAATGACTGTTTTAATGTCAATCAAAAAATAATAAAGATGATTTTCCCCGATCTAACTTGGATGATGCAAATCGTGGCAAATCAAAACAATCAACTGGATGGAAAAAAAATCTTTTAAGAAAAAGATAATTTCTCTTTGTTGAACAATGTATACCGAGCAGAATTTCCTTCTTTATAAAAATGAATAGTTACTAAAAATCAAATCATCCTTACAATTTGTAGAAGATCTTCAGGAAAAGTCTTTATAATCATATGAACTCAACTCCAATAGAATTAAGCTAAAAATTGTCCTTTGGGAAAGGCAAAGATGAAGAAATATCATAGTTTTACACTCATTTATTTTTCTTCTTACAAAAATAATTCTTTGTATTTTTGTACACCACGCCTGGGTGGCTCAGTGGGTTAAGCCTCTGCCTTCAGCTCAGGTCATGATCCCAGGGTTCTGGGATCCAGCCCCGCATCAGGCTCTCTGCTCAGCAGGGAGCCTGCTTCCCTTCCTCTCTCTCTGCTTACCTCTCTGCCTACTTGTGATCTCTGTCTGTCAAATAAATATATACAATCTTAAAAAAAAATAATTCTATGCCAGGGAAAATTTGTATGCAGCTACTATAATGGAAATAATTGTTAAGTGTGGAATTGTCATGCCTTCTCACCAACTTAGATAAGCATGGGTTGCAAAGAAAGCTAACAATATTTCTATTATTAATATTGTAAAAATATAAAAGTGATTATTTCCAGCTAAATTTGGTTATTGTAAAAACTTAGACATAAAAATAGAAAATAGTAAAATAAATAAAATAAAAACTAGCTCAAAAATCACTCTTCGCTATGTGTCAAGATCTAAGTAAGTTGCCATCACAGCTTTAGAACAGATGGACATGTTAGATAGAACAGATCCATTATCTTTTCTTTTTGAGATCTGCTATCCTCCATTCCTGATCTTTCGCATCACATAGTGTCTGCTTTCTCTGTTTGTTTCCTGCATGCATTTTACAAGTTATTAAATTATATTCCCATCTAGTAATCTTTCACACTGAATTGATGCTGTATTTTAGCTGAGAACCTAATTATATGCTCCATTTCAGAGATTATAACACAACCCCCTTTCAAAGGCACTGAAATCATATCTTTTTAGGTAGAATGGTTTTACTACCTTTATATCCCCTCTCCATAATTTGTGCATAAAAGGAGTATCACATGCCTCATTTAACAATTACTTACGGCTACAGATATTAGAGAAGTATTTTATGAAATGCCCCTTTTCTCCCACCCCTTGTACATCTGAGGAATAGAAAAATTCATTTATCAATGAAAAATTAAAACCCACAGAGGACAGTCTTAATACTATTTAAAATAAGAACAGGAATAGTATGAAGAAAGTTTTAATTAATATTGTTTTATACATGTTGAGAACAGTAGCTATTTTTACCTATCTTAGAATATTTTAAAGATAGCTCTTAAGCAACGATGCTATCATGAGCAGTAGCACATTAATTGCTGAAGCCATGTCACCTGATACCTATACCTTCCAGCGCTAGCCCATACATAATGAGCTCTGTGGAAGAGGTAAAATAAGAAATTTCAAATTATCATCACTTCAAGTTTTTTTCTTTTTTCGGTTTTGTTAAGTAAATTTATTTAAAACACAAACATAAAAGAATCATAATTTTACTTAGAAAAACTAACATATCCCTTGCTAACTTAACTGTGCCAAATGCTAACAAGTCTCCAAAAAGGAAGATGGATATACTTAATTCTCCTGTTAGAAGCAATCAACCAATTAGCATAAAATCAATATTTCCTACTTTGAATATGCAGAAATCCATTTTTTAAATAAAATATTGTAATTTGTTTTGTAGGGCAGTGGGAAAGCATAAAAATGACTGTGTAAGCTAAAACTGTGCAAGGTCTTCTCATCAAACAATGGGAAAACTTATGATTGTTCCGTGATTTTTAAAAAATGTCTGAAAACATTAAGAGTTCTTACTGGTGGTTATAAATGTAGAGGGAAATGAAAAAGAAAACCAATACTTATAATTTAGTATACTGTATTTTGCTTATCAGAAACACTGGGCAACAAAGTATTTTATTTCTTCGTGAAAAACTTATCAAAAATAGTCTGAACAGAGCTTGCCTTCTTCTAAGGCTGTAACTTACAATACAGAGCAAGCATCTTTTCTATGCCTTGAGAAGATGTCATACTCCTTTCTTAACTCTGGATCAGCTCACAGCATTTTATCCTTTCCCCTTTCAATGTTGTAAAACATCTCTGAGAATTCCTTTAATATGAAGTTTTCTGCCAACTTCACATCCTCTAAGACATTTTCATTCTTTCTGTCACAACCACTTCCTCCATTTACATCAGTAAGTGTGCCTTTGCTGAGCTCCTGTGGCTGCATACCTAGTCTCCTGAACAGTGGCAATCCCAACATTCCCACAGTCAGCTAGTTCTTCTTGAACACCATTTATTCATGATTCATATTTTATTTCCAGTGTTATTACTTTTCATTCTTTGGCTGCATTTTCATCTTTGTTGGCCAATTCCCTTTTGATTATCCATTTTGCAAAATGTCATATGGATTCATCACTGGGAGACAAGGAGGCAACATAACTACATGGTTTGTTGTCTGTGCATAAAGTGAAGAAGAGACGCACAGTGATCAGACTTTGAAATAAGTGATGTGACTGTCATAGCTCATGATGCACATGTATTATTTATGTGCTGATCAATGGACTGAGGAGCCAGCAGCTATATCTGTACTTTATGTAATTACTCACTGTTAATACACCCTGGTAACTAAAATATGAACTGTGCTGTTGGGGGGCTGGGGTCAGCAACTAAGCTGTGGTATCTGAAATTCGTGTCCACTCACTGGGCAAAGCAAGGTCTTCTTGCATTAGTATATACATCTAATAATATACATCTTAAGAAAATTATTTACAAAATCACACACCTACAAAAGAGGAGTAAAATAAAGCTACATACCAGTGTGAGATGACTCATCATCACTATCCTCTTCTTTCCTTCCTTTCTTCTTGACTTTTTTGATTTTGTACTCTCTGGCATTGCTGCCACCACCTCCTCTCACACTTCCACTGCCCTCTGGTGGAAAACGGTATTAGTTAGTAGAAAACGATGACACTACGTTGTCATATTTAACTTTACAGCAGAACAATAAAAGCCAAATAATTAAACTTTTAGCTGCTATTTAAGGTGGGAGGTTTTTTTTTTAAATTATAATGGAAGTTTTATAATTTGTTCAATAAAAAATTAATAAAATGTGAAATCTCTTGAATTTGAGCAACTCACTTAGATAGCTTACCAGCTCTAAAGGCAATCTCTTCCAGTCTCTTCTACTTTTTTCTATAGTTTTGTCTGACTTTTCCTTGGCCAAACCCATTCCTTTACTGGTTCTTCTCCCTTCCCCAAAAGAAATGTGCCCTCATTTGCCATCTTTGTTACTACAGCTTCATTAATATTTCATTACAGTACTTCACAAGTTTAATTACCCTCAGTTTTGTCTTTCTGGTTGAAAGATTATTATTCTTGTTTACAGGAAACATCCCTAGTCTCCCACCACCCAATGAGATAATGAATTTTTGAGAACAGGGAGCATGTCTCACTAATGTTGGTATCCTTGGGGTTAAAGCAATGCTTGACACATTAAAAGGTGCTCAATAAACGCTTACCACAAATATTAAATTAGATGAATAGAGAAATATAGTTATCAATCACCTATTGGCTAAAGACTAAAAAAATACACATTATGAGACAAACTAAAACACTGTATATAAAAGTAATGTTATTGAGGTATTTCTCTGCTATTACATATTTACATTTAAAGTATCTATTCAACAAAATAGAATACTTATCTAGAAATGGGATTGAAACATGAAAAATAATAATACACTTCTTCACAAAAGACTCATTTTTCGATAAAGTAAAATGACATATAACTACAGATCTTTTTCTAAATTCTAAGTGCAATTCCTTTAAATTTTATCATGTCCTATAATTTTAAGTTCTATTAATTTATTTTCCCTTGCTTTTATGATAGAAAAACACAATTTTCAAAAGCAGACCTATGGCAATAAATTTCTTATGGGGAAGATGTTTATATTTGACATTATTCCATGCACTATACCTAAACTATTACAATATGATAGTACTATAATTGAGATGATGACCAGATGACTCTGAACTTTTAGAAGGAAATAAAACAGACTAGCTATTCTGACATAAGTGCAACCAACTGATTAAGGTGAATTTATAAGATATCTTCAAATCATATGATAGAATATGTGTGGCTGTGAACAGTACTATGATTTATTGGAGTAGTCTTCCCAGAAAAATAGAGAGAAATTTCAAAGTATCAAAATCGAAAGATTTTGTAGAAAAATGTGTTTGAAGAGGAAAGAAGCAATCTCAGAGATATAGGAATGAATTTCCACAACAAATAAAAATGAAGTTTTGGGGGTGCCTGGGTGGCTCAGTGGGTTAAGCCTCTGCCTTCAGCTCAGATCATAATCTCGGGGTCCTGGGATCGAGCCCTGCATCAGGCTCTCTGCTCAGCAGGGAGCCTGCTTCCTCTTCTCTCTCTGCCTGCCTCTTTGCCTACTTGTGATCTCTCTCTCTGTCAAACAAATAAATAAAATCTTAAAAAAAATGAAGTTTTTATAACACATATCCAGTACAGCTGTATTAATGAAACATGTTGAATATCTAGTTTCTTTAACCCTGATAGAGCACTAATAAAACTGTTCCTACTATAGAAAGTATGGAAAACAAATTAATTTCCAAATGCAAGTTACTAGTATACCAATGCTACCTCAAATAATTTCCAGTGACTCTTAATTACCAAAAAGAAAAAAAAAAAAAAAGAAAAGAAAGAAAAGAAATGAGATGTCCTTGGGAAATTCAGTAATTTAATAAATATTTACAGAACACCTAAAATACACCAACAGGTGCTCTAAGAACTAGGAACTAGGAAACAATAAACAAGATGTACAAGGTTTCCCAACAATAAAACACAAGACAGTGATAAAAGCAATACAAAAAGACTGGAAGATAATATATGGAGAATGATTGTGTCTACAATTCCAGGTGGTGAGGGAGGCCTCTATGAGGAACTGACATTTAAAGTTGAGCTCTGAATGACAAGAAATCTGTTACCTGAAGTTTGAGAGAGAACATTCAGGTAGAGGGAGTAGCTACTGCAAAGGCTTTCAGATAACCACAAACTTGCCAAATTTGGGGGGGATAAAAAGGCTACTGGTCTGGAACATAGACAGTGAGGGGGCAAACAATAGGACATGGGCCGGGTCATGAAATTAACTTAGTTCTCACAAAAAATTAAAAAGAATAAGTAATCACTAATATTTCCATTATCATAATCAAAACAATTCATTAGCAAAAGATTTGGCTAATATTAGCAATTAAAAATAAATCAACCAAATAAAAGGGTGTAATAAATGTAGAGTTCACTGCAATAAATAAACGAAATTCATCTTTGAATCTTCTTGGTTAATAATAACTTATTACCTGTTGCTTTTCTCCTTCGTTCATCTTTTTTATCCTTTTTACTTGTATTAATACTTTCTAAAATGGAGACCTGTTTCAGGTCTTCTTCAGTGATTAAATGAACAGGATTATTTTTCATTTCCTGAAATAAAACATGCTTTTCTTGGTAAGCAAAAATATATGGCATTACAGAAAACATAAAATAGTTAGTTACATACTCAATTATTATTATTCATCCTAATTATTCTTGTTTGATCTCATTGCTAAGAAGAACTATAGAGCCTGGTCCAACAGTTGCCACTCTGAGACTATTTCTCCTTGCCAAAGATCAGTCTCTTCCCTTGCTGTTCTTGACTTTTTGAACCTGTGATCAAAAAATAAAAAATCCTATCTGGTCCCTGAAAAACTGATCATACAGCAAACGCAATCCTCTTCAGCTGATTTGGCTTCTTTACCACTGCTTACTGGGTGACCTTGCTCTTTTTCTCTTTGAGGCTCCCAAGTCCAGTGCCACTTGGGTACCTGAGATTACAAAATCTCTATCCTCCAACCTAACAGAACGAGCATGTAGGATGAGTTGTACACTTAATCATATAATTTGTTTTTTCCTCCAGACTCATTCCTGATCTCTGCTTTTTAAAAATTTATGTTAAGACTAATGACCTATTTCCATGTTCAGAAACTGTTTTTTCAGCATGGGACAGGGTTCTAAATCTGCAATGACAAAAGTACATTTTCATGTTAAAAATGGTGTTTCCCTTTTGGTTTCCTAAAGAAAAAGGTTTAGAATGTTGACAGTTCAAACAGCAGAATCACCTTTTTTTTTTTTCCCCTCAAAGTTATTTTTGTAGTTGGAAGGAGGAGCACAAAGAATGAAAACTGATGACCATGTTTTTATCTTAGTGCAAATAAAAATAATGTAGCCATTTAGTGACTTGGGAGATATTATGTGCTACACTTTTGGTATACATCTCTTCTTTATTTTAATTTAAATTTATCTTTAGAAAGGAGAAAAGAGGCATCATCATCCTTCCTTTGAAGATGTGGAAACTGGAGGTCTATTTGTCCAAAGTCGAACAGTAAACAAGGTGAGAATGGAACTCAGGTGTATTGGTAACAATCTTATGTACTTTTACTCTGCTGCTTTGTAGGCAAGACAGAAAATTATCTCTCTTTTTTAAACTATTAAAGAGTTTAATAGGAATAGAGATGAATACAAATTATTTACATACTTAATAAGCTCTCATGGACTTATTAACAGTGTAAGATAAATAGGCTTGTTCTGCCTATCGTGAGCAGGCTTTATAAGTAGATGGGGCTGCTAACTAGAAACATGAATTGAACAGTCATTAAAGCAGACCTGACCGGACCCTGCTTCTAGAAATTATGACAGCACTTGCTCTCAGGAACTAATCCATTTTTGATAGTATCAACAATTTCTTTCCTCAGTAAGTTATCCCATTTGTGCATCCTAAATAGGTAAAATTAATAAGGCTCTACCTGATTTAGTAAATAAATAGTATAGTGATTGATAGCTATACTGTATACTTGTACATATAATCCACAGATATAATTTTTGTGGATTTCAATGTTGGACCAATACCCTTAGGAAACTTAACTGTGAAATGTATAATTTCATTTATAGGATTTCAATTTATAAAATTATTATACATTATAAAATTATAAATGTAATAATCATAACTATAAATTTATAAATTTTATAAAAATATAAAATTATATAATCAGCTCCCTAAGTTCTAACTTGTATGTCCTGATGGGAGTGAAGAAGAGGAAAAACAAATCCAGAAGAAATAAAAAGGAACGATGCATTAAAAGGAAATGATGCATGAAACACAGTGTTCACTTTCGGGTGTATGCTGCTTACTCCATTTTTCAAAAAATGTCAGATGATTCTAAGGTGAAAATCCTATTAAGATTAGTAGGAGAAAGGAAATCTGGCTTACCTTTTCAGCTTTCTGGTGCATCAGTTCACTGAAGAGTTCTGTGCAGTTATTTATGAATTTTTCACTGACTACAACAGTGTCACTAAAAACTACAGCTGAAGCCTGCTTGCTGAATGCTCTCATCACCTGCTGAAGCAACATGGCGGCATCTTCGACTGATAAAGAACTGGGTAACAGAGGCTAGAAGCAGAAACAAAGTGAAAACAAGTATAATTATAATAACATACAGATAAACCATTTGTTACATATATGCCCTCCCTAGGTGATCTCATTAAGTCTAATAGCCTTCAGAACCATCTCTATGCTGACAACCTCCCAAACTGTATTTCTGCGTTCATTATCATTCTGAGCTCTGGAGTCATATGCCCTCTGTCTCCCTAACATCTCTGCTCTTGTGCCTAACAGGCATCTCAAATTCCACATGTCCAGAACGACACTGATTGCAGCCGCCTACCCACCAACACCTAGTTCCCATCCACCTTTCTCCATTGTTCCCCCATCTCAATTAATGGTACTGTTCTCCATGCAGTTATCAGGCCCCAAACCTATATGTCATACTCAGTTCCTCTCATAAACCCATAAACAATCCATCATCAAGTCCTGACAACTTTACCTACAAAACAGATTTCTTAGCTCCTTGGACTATCTGAAATTACTGTTTTCATTAACTATCTCCACCTAGGAAACTTGTGTGGGCACCACATTCCTAGCAGGTAAAATGGTTCCTTGCACACAGACGGTACTTAAAATTTGTTAAATGAATGAATGGAACACCGAAATCTGGAACCTCTGGAAACTTGCGTATCCAACAAGTAATTTTTTACTTTATAAAGACAATTTGGGCCCTGCCTAGTAATAATGGGATGGCCTCTTGTTTCTTTCTCTTCACCTGTACTTTTCTCTTTGGCATAATAAAGGCAGGTCAATACTGAACATTGAAGTAAAACACTAACAGGGCTAAAGCAGGTCATGTTAGTACATGAGCAGAGATTAATGAATGGATAAAGGATACACAAATACTATACAGTGGCTAATGCCAATAAACTTGGATAAGATTGTAAATACTTGGATAAGATTTTGAGAAATCACATCAGTATCAATGGCAAGACTGTTATGAGTATTATATTGTTTGCTTACTTGTTTTGAGATTTATGGAATTCTAGATGTTGACTATCCATATCTAAAAGGTCATTCTACCTCAAAAGCTAAAAGTCTTTAAGCATAATTAAGATTGTTTTTGCCATAACAATGTCTGCTAGAATTTGGCTACAAAGCCAAGACTATCTTTATGTATCCTAACTATTAAAATGACCACATACTAGTGAGTATCAGTTATCATTGGTTTAAAGAAAAATTAACAAGAAGAAGATAAAACATACTGCAATATCAACCCATGTTCCAGAGCTGATGGCTTCCTCTACTGATGCTTCCACCTGATCCACAAGTCCTTGACCAACACAAGCTGCTTTCAAAAACAAGAGTTGTGTTGTCTTGTATCTTTTCTTTATGTAGCTCACAGCATCTGGGATTCCAAGTCTGGACAAAGCATCAAATTCTAGAAATACATCACAAATAGAAATGGAATAGAATCCATTAGAACAAAATTGTCAATCATTCCTGTCTTTTAGAAATCCTAGAAAAAATGAGTTCTACTAATATCTATTCTTTGTGAATGCACTTCCAAATTTTTATTACTAAACATAGCTGTAGAAAAATTAGTTCAAATAATTCCTCAATCCCAGCTATGTCACACCCTCTCCAATTGAGGGGTCAAAGGGAAACATGAGAACTACAGATCAAAAAAGTAGAAATGGGGGTGAAGGAGAATGTAATAATTTACAGAAACAAAAAGTAGAATTTATTTTGCTTATTACAGTTAACTAAAGGTATCAGACAACTTAAGACAAAGTAATTCCCTAGTTTAATTTAAACTAGACTTAGCATATAAACAAAAGTAAAAAAAAACAAAAAACAAAAAGACTTAAATTTACAGCCATTAAAGTTACTGGAGGTATCTATTGTACTCTCTGCCCCCAAATAATCTATTTAAGAAAACTGATTATAACAAAGTTCTAATCCAAGTCCATGGTTGAAGAAACTGAAAGGTACATAACAGAAAGTGAAGAAAACATTAAGTGAAACCCAGTATTCTAGTATAGATTTAAATTGTTTGAACCATTAGTATCTTACACGTTTATTACTGAGAAAGCAACTGATTTCTTACATGATTTGACTTGGGTAATGAAACTGATCAAACTAAGTGAGCTACATGTACATACATAATGTATATGAATATTATATGTAATATACATATGCTAATTGTTTTAATGATTAAGTTCAGTCAATCTACTTTACCCAAATGACAGAACCTCAGAAAAAGGAGAATAGCTTCAGCGTTTGTGAAGAAGTGAGTGACTAATAAAAATGCACACTGTAAAGCTGATAGCCAATAAAGTATTTCTAAGATTATGTATCTGAATAATTGGGCAACTTCATAAAATATAAGATATAATAAATAAGATTATTTTCTGTGACTTAAAATATACTTGAAATTGTAATAGTATCACATCACTGGAACACTGGTAACAATCAATACCAGTTTTGGCCTTCCCATATTACAACTGTTCAGTAACTATGAAATTAAACTTAGTTCCAAAACCAACAAAAATCTGCAATTCGGCTACTTTTACATTCACAGAGAACCATTATAATCTTTTGTCAATAGCAGAGCATGTGTGTACTCCCAGGACTAATAAAGTACTTGCTAAGAACGTGTGCAATATAAGAAAGAAATTTTAGTTTCAAATACAAGAAGAAATAGTTACCTAGATAGCCATTCTGTCTGAGAAAGGAATCCACCCAAGTACTTTGTGTTCTGGAGTAAATGTCAGGGACAAACACCGCCTTATCCTGTCTCCCACCAACCACAGTGCCTCGTAAACGTCCACTATTAACGAGTTCCTCAAGCACAGCTTAAAACAAAACCAAATACAAATAAATCAGAGCAGGTATAAATGTCAGAGAGTAAAACACTATTTCACAATTTAGTTATTCTCCTTTAAAAAAGCAATTTTAAAGTTTAATTGCATAAATGAAGACTTTATATTTTAGACAAAACTTTCTTGCCATTTATGAGAATAATCAGGTCACAAATTTGGGAAATTCTGGCAATTAGCTAAAAGTACTGAACTTGTAACTCAAACTGGTTAATATTAACATTGAATTTTTTTTCAAAGATTTTATTTATTTATTTGACAGACAGAGATCACAAGTAGGCAAAGAGGCAGGCAGAGAGAGAGGGAGGGGAAGCAGGCTCCCTGCTGAGCAGAGAGCCCGATGCGATGCGGGGCTCGATCCCAGGACCCTGAGATCATGAGCTGAGCGGAAGGCAGAGGCTTAACCCACTGAGCCACCCAGGGGCCCCTAACATTGAATTTTTTAGTTAAGAGCAATTTGGGGGGAAAAAATGCCATTATTTATATGTTTGAAAGTGGATGACTGAACACTTTGAGAATAGATAATATGCAATCACTAAGTGTTTCCAAATTCAGTTTTCTCATATTTAGAACATTTAAGACACCTGGATCACATTAGAATCAACTGTGTGAAATAAAGCCATGAAAAAAAATTTTTTTAATTTTTTTTAAAGATTTAATTAATTAATTAATTAATTTGACAGAGGGAGACTCAGTGAGAGAGGGAACACAAGCAGAGGGAGAGGGAGAAGCAGGCTTCCCACCAAGCAGGGAGCCCAATGTGAGGCTCAATCCCAGGACCGTGGGATCATGACCAAGCCAGAGGCAGATGCTCAACTACTGAGCCACCCAGACACCCCAAGCCATGAAAATTTTTATGTTATTATATTTCTACTTTTTTCTTTTTATGTCATTACATTTCTATGGTTTAAATTGCAACATATGTAAGAGAAGTATAATGCTTAGGTTAAGAGGATGGATCTAGATTTGGACACCCTTTAAAAGTACAAATCTCAACTCTGTCACCTACTCCCTGACAAAAACTGGGCAAGTCATTTTACTTATGCTTCCATTTTCTCAGCCATGAAATAGAGATAATAGCAAGTGTCTCCAAGAATTGTCATATTCAAGTAAAGTGCTTGGAATAGTAGCTGGCGTATGATAAGCACGCAGTAAATTTTAACTAAATATCACCACCACCACACATCATCATTAATCACTCTCATCATCGTCAAAAGGCTAATGCCAGTCTGAGACCTGGATAGTACTGCCATTAACATAAAATACACGCTTTTTTATTTAAACCATAACATTCAACTAAACATTCATTTAACTAAACCATAACATTTAACTAAACATAAACATTCAAACATTTCATTGTTTCATTTCATTTCATTACCAAAATACCCTGAGAGAAAGACAAAAGCAGATAGGAAGGAGTTATTTCTAAGCAAATTAGAAAGCACAGTCAATACATGACTGGCAAAGAAATGTTCATGAAAATCAGCCTTTACCAGAAATAAAAATTAGCTTATATGAGTTACACGATTTTGGTGCTGAGTAAATTAGGATACATTAGAAAAGTCTAGATTTTTCAACAGATTGCAACAAATAAATTTCGTGACTGTACAGCACAAATCCGTGCTAAATTAAAAGTTATCAAGTTATCAATTATTACTTGAAAAACTACATGAAATCCCACCAATCGCCAATTCGTAGATTCCAATATATGTCACATTTTTTTTTTCTAAAGATTTTATTTATTTATTTGACAGACAGAGATCACAAGCAGGCAGAGAGGCAGGCAGAGAGAAGAAGGGAAACAGACTCCCTGCTGAGCAGAGAGCCTGATTCAGGGCTTGATCCCATGACCCTGGGATCATGACCTTAGCTGAAGGCAGAGGCTTTAACCCACTGAGCCACCCAGACGCCCCATATGTCACATTTTTACTTTTAAATTTATTAAACAAAAAATTTAACTCCACATTCTGAAAAATATAGAGAATTAAAACTAACTTCTGGTTTTAAACATGAATTTCTTTTCTATCCTTCATTTTAATTCTTCTATTTGCACAGATATCTGAGCCAAAAGATTAAGTCATTGTTTTTTATTTCCACCAAGACTTTTAAAAAAACCCTCAAAACCTGGTAACAGCTTCACAAACACACACATAATATAGGTAATGAATCAAGACTATTCTGGAGATATTACAATGTTGTTTAAATGCTAAGAATATATTTTTACTGGTATCTTCTTTGTAAAATGTTTTTATTTCTTAAAATATTTTATTTACTTATTTATTAATTAAGTAAGCTCTATGCCCAATGTGGGGCTTGAACTCATGACCCTGAAATCAAGAGTCGCATGCTCCACTGACTAAGCCAGCCTAGCACCTCTGTAAAAATTTTTTAGACAAACACTATTTACTTTCATGTTAGAAAATGTAGCAAGAATCTGTAAGAAACAAAGTGAAAATTATTCTTAATCCTACAATTTTAAATATCTCTCTATAAATATATATGCATAGCAGTATTTTACACACACACACACACACACACACACACACACACACACACACACACAGAGTTTGTTTTTCATTCTATTCCTTTGGGGTAGCCAACACTAAATGTTTGGTGGATATAACATATATATACATGAAAATTGGTATAGAGAAGCTTTTCAATGAAATATTTTAGTTATGTAAGTTTTAAGGTTAAAATAAGTCAAAACGTGAAAAATTAGTTATGTTTCACTATAATAGTCTATTTAGCAGTTAATTAAGTGACATATAATTTAAAGCAAACTCACAGTAAAGCAGCTGCTCTTGAAATCCATATTTTGAAATGAGAGAATTTAATGCTGTAGGCCTTTATGGAAAGAAAGAAAAAGACCTTAGTCATTCTAGAGTTACACATATTTATGAATTATAAAAATAACTAGGATAACTAGTTTTTATGAAAAACACCAATTAATTAAAAAGAAAAATGAAGGCAAAAATAACACCAGATTTTACAACATTAATCAGAATTACACTACTGAAATTCCAGGGTAATTGATTTGTATTCACAATCCAGGATCAATTCACTTTCTCACCAAATTCCCACCTCAGATTTAGTGATATCTGATCAGCTTTTATTTTATGTTTTTCTTTATTCCAGTCTTTCTCTCTGGGAGGCTCTTTCTCCACCTAGGAATAGCCAGGTGAATGTTATCTGATTCTGTTTTTGAAGAAAAGTGTAATTATATATGTAGTGAAAGGAATCTGGAATGAAATTCTCCCAGATTATGTGGATGACTGGAAGGGAGCCACTTAAAATGCTCCTTTTTGTTTATCACTATTTTCTGTAATGACTGCTTTAAAAAAACAAAACAAAACAAAAAAACTCCAGCTTTAATGAGGCATAATTTACATACAATTCAAGCATCTTAATAAATGTATGAAGTTGAGGAATCATCACTATAGCTCTCAAGTCTAGAATATTTCCATCACCCAAATAATTCCTGCACAGATGTTTATAGTTAATTCTTGCTCTACCCCTAGTCCTAGAGAACCACTGATCTGCTTTCTGCCTCTACATACTTGCCCTTCTAGAAATTTCATAGAAATGGAATCAATATATGGTCTCTTATGTCTGGCTTTTTTCACTTAGCATCATTTTGAGGTTCATGCATGATGAAGCCTAAATCAGTATTCACTCCTTTTTATTGCTGAATAGCATTCCCTGTATGAAGATACCACATTTTGTTTATTCATCCATCAGACGATGGACATTTGGATTGTTTCCAGTTTGGGGCTATTATGAATAATGCTGCTACAAACATTGTTTTTTCGTGCCTTCGTGTGGACATATCTCTTCATTTTTGGGGGTAGATCCCTGCGAATGCTTTTCTTTTATAATAATTATCTTTTTTTTTTTTTAAAAGATTTTATTTATTTATTTGACAGAGATCACAAGTAGGCAGAGAGGCAGGCAGAGAGAGAGGAGGAAACAGACTCCCTGTTGAACAGAGAGCCCGATGTGGGGCTCGATCCCAGGACCCTGAGATCATGACCTGAGCTGAAGGCAGAGGCTTTAAATCACTGAGCCATGCAGGTGCCCTAATTACTTTTTTTTTTTTTTTAAATAAGGGAAATTATAAAGAAAACAACACAGACTTTCTTTTTATGACTATTTTTTTCCCCCTATTCATTTTAAGCCAGTTATGCTTGTTTTCTGGTTTAGGTTTATAGTCTATGTTTTTATTTTTATGCATATAACTAAGAGACTTTTAAGTTATTCCAAGTACTCAATTGATTACTGAAGATGTTATGAATTTTCTAACAAACTTGGGAGGGCAGAAACATTTGTCTGAATATGAATTGATATTTAAAACCCCTATGCTTGGGCATTTTGGCTAAATTATTATTTTTACCAAATTTTCATGCAGATTATTTATTTTTTACTAAGTTAATTTATCCTACTGTTTCAGCTAAATTATCTAGAGCCCCCAAACCAATCAGGTCTATTTAGGTGCTTGAAGTTTGCTCTCTGCTTATATTATAATTATTACAACCTTCTCATGTTTTGTGTTTTGTTTTCTGTTCCCTTCTAACTGAACACATCCCTACAAAAATGTGGAGGGCTCCTTGAAGGACTTTATCTTAAAATTTCTGCGTGTATAACTTATTGTGGATTTTCAGTAAACATGTAATTGAACTGCACAAAATTTCTAGCTTTTTTTGTACAATAAAACTTGGCTGTTGAATTTTTATTTCAATTTGGAATACAGTGTAGTTTAGTATACCTATATATGTCCCTGTTCTAAGTATTTCCTGTTCTTCTTTCTGGCTACCTATAACAACGATATAAACCCTTTTAAAACCAGAGATGAAGGTGATTTCTCTAAAGTTAGACCAGAAAAGTGGAGGGGGTTGGGGGCTCCTTATATTTAAGAGACAAATATGATGATATGGTACATTAAATGAAACTATCTGGAAGCCACACAGCCTAGAAAAATCTTTTGAGGCTCAGAATTTGTTTCGCCCTCATGCTTTAATAATACCTCTTCAAGGCTACTGTGAGTCAGAAAAAATATTATTTGCCAAACCTGATGGTAACTACGCTCACCACAATAATTAGTCAAAGAAAAAAAATCTGTCAATAGGAAATTATATTTTGAGCAAGTAATAAACACACACAGTACAAAAAAGGTACAAAACTGAATCCCCCTATATTCTCATCACTCAGCTACCCAGTACTCCAGAAACAACTACTGATACCAGTTTCTTGTGTCAGGAGGGCACAGGCTGTCGGAGCCTATGTGGACAAAGGAGGGTGTCCACACGGAATGACAGCTGTAGCAGCAATGGGGTATCAGTTACATAAAGGGGAATCACTCAAATAAGCAAATTTAGCTGACCCTTGAACAATGTGGATTTGAACTGCATGGGTCTACTTTATATGTAGATTTTTTTTTTTTTTTTAAGATTTATTTATTCATTTGAGAGAAAGACAGAAAGTAAGAGAGTACATGAGAGGGGCAGAGGGAAAGAAAGTCCAACCTGACTGAGCATGGAGCCTGGTGCCAGGCTCGATCTCATGACCCTGAGATCATGACCTGAGCAGAAACCAAGAGCCAGATGCTTAAAACCAACAGTGCTATTCAGGCGCCCCTATATGTAGATTTTTAAAATACACATATAGTACAGCACTGAAAATGTATTTTCTTTTTCTTATGACATTCTTGTTTTTTTTTTTTTGTAAGATTTTATTTATTTATTTGAGAGACAGAGTGAGTGAGCACGAGTGGGGGGGGATGGGCAGAGAGAAAGGGAGAAGCAGATTCCCTGCTGAGGAGGGAGCCCGATGACATGGGACTAGACCCCAAGACCCCAGGATCATGACCCAAGCAGATGTTTAACTGACTGAGCCACCCAGGTGCCCCATCTTTCTTATATTCTTATTATTTCCTTTTCTCTAGCTTACTTTATTATAAGAATAAGGTATATAATTCATATAATATACAAAAGATGCATTATTCAACTATTTGTCACTGGTAAGACTTCTGGTAAACAGGAGGCTGTTAGTAGTTAAGTTTTGGGGGAGTCAAAAGTTATTCCCAGATTTTCAACTGCAGTGTGGGGGTTGGTGACCCTAACCTCTGTGTTGTTCAAGGGCCAAGTGTATATTAAGGATAATGGGAAGTAGGTTTCTCAGGGCCAGAGAAGGGAGCTGCAAATATGGAAAAGGAGAAAACTAGGACAAAACTGGGTGCTTGGAAGGGAACTGGAAGTATCAGTGTGAACTCATGGTTTTCGATAAAAAATACAAAAATATAGGTAAATAGAGGGGTGTATACTAATGTGTCTGTGTATCCCCTAACTTTTCTGCTGAGGGGGCTTGGGAGAGGTGACAACCAAATAGCAATAACCAATTTAAGCGTCCAGATCTTGGTTTCTAAATAGTATACTCAACTAAGAAGAACCAGGCAGAGTTCCTTAAGGAAATGGCTGATTCTAGGTTTGGGGCAATAAAATTATGAGCTGAGCTTACAGCTTCTTGTTTTAACCAGAAAGAAGAGATGTGTTCCAAGAATGATGGGGTAATATTAAAAGGACACAGAAGTCAGCATGAAGGGTGGGCCAATAGCTAAATCAGAGCCAATTTAAAAGTATCTAAATAATGGTAATAGATTTTAATCCAATGGATAAAATAGGGAGCCATGAGTCCATACTGATTTAAACAAATGAATAAACTGAAAGTTTGATTAAAAAAAAAATAGCATAACTTATAAAATCTCAAACTGCCCTCCCCAAAATACTTAATTATAAAGGAAAAACAAGTAGCTTTATGGCAAGTGTAATAGATATCTCCTTACTAAGAAGTTATACTGCATACCATCAGTAACTAGAAAAATCTAAACTGTCTACTCCCTGCTAGGATTCAATAACAAGAACACAGAATTACTTTGGTTACATTCCTGTCAAAGATGCATAACCTGAATTAAGGAGTCAATCCCATTTACAATTGCACCCAAAACTATAAGATACCTAGGAATAAACCTAACTAAAGAGGCTAAGAATCTGTACTCAGAAAACTATAAAGTACTCATGAAAGAAATTGAGGAAGACACAAAGAAATGGAAAAATGTTCCATGCTCCTGGATTGGAAGAATAAATATTGTGAAAATGTCTATGCTACCTAAAGCAATCTACACATTTAATGCAATTCCTATCAAAATACCATCCATCTTTTTCAAAGAAATGGAGAAAATAATCCTAAAACTTATATGGAACCAGAAAAGACCTCGAATAGCCAAAGGAGTATTGAAAAAGAAAGCCAAAGTCGGTGGCATCACAATTCCGGACTTCAAGCTCTATTACAAAGCTGTCATCATCAAGACAGCATGGTACTGGCACAAAAACAGACACATAGATCAGTGGAACAGAATAGAGAGCCCAGAAATAGACCCTCAACTCTATGGTCAACTAATCTTTGACAAAGCAGGAAAGAATGTCCAATGAAAAAAAGACAGCCTCTTCAATAAATGGTGTTGGGAAAAGTGGACAGCCACATGCAGAAAAATGAAATTGGATCATTTCCTTACACCACACACGAAAATAGACTCAAAATGGATGAAGGATCTCAATGTGAGAAAGGAATCCATCAAAATCCTTGAGGAGAACACAGGCAGCAACCTCTTCGACCTTAGCCGCAGCAACATCTTCCTAGGAACATCGCCAAAGGCAAGGGAAGCAAGGGCAAAAATGAACTATTGGGATTTCATCAAGATCAAAAGCTTTTGCACAGCAAAGGAAACAGTTAACAAAACCAAAAGACAACTGACAGAATGGGAGAAGATATTTGCAAACGACATATCAGACAAAGGGCTAGTGTCCAAAATCTATAAAGAACTTAGCAAACCCAACACCCAAAGAACAAATAATCCAATCAAGAAATGGGCAGAGGACATGAACAGACATTTCTGCAAAGAAGACATCCAGATGGCGAACAGACACATGAAAAAGTGCTCCATATCACTCGGCATCAGGGAAATACAAATCAAAACCACAATGAGATATCACCTCACACCAGTCAGAATGGCTAAAATTAACAAGTCAGGAAATGACAGATGCTGGCGAGGATGCGGAGAAAGGGGAACCCTCCTACACTGTTGGTGGGAATGCAAGCTGGTGCAACCACTCTGGAATACAGCATGGAGGTTCCTCAAAATGTTGAAAATAGAACTACCCTATGACCCAGCAATTGCACTACTGGGTATTTACCCTAAAGATACAAACGTAGTGGTCCGAAGGGGCACGTGCACCCGAATGTTTATAGCAGCAATGTCTACAATAGCCAAACTATGGAAAGAACCTAGATGTCCATCAACAGACGAATGGATAAAGAAGAGGTGGTATATATACACAATGGAATACTATGCAGCCATCAAAAGAAATGAAATCTTGCCATTTGCGACGACGTGGATGGAACTAGAGGGTATCATGCTTAGCGAAATAAGTCAATCGGAGAAAGACAACTATCATATGATCTCCCTGATATGAGGGAGAGGAGATGCAACATGGGGGGTTAAGGGGGTAGGAGAAGAGTAAATGAAACAAGATGGGATTGGGAGGGAGACAAACCATAAGTGACTCTTAATCTCACAAAACAAACTGAGGGTTGATGGGGGGAGGGAGGTTGGGAGAGGGGGGTGGGGTTATGGACATTGGGGAGGTTATGTGCTATGGTGAGTGCTGGGAAGTGTGTAAACCTGGCGATTCACAGACCTGTACTCCTGGGGATAAAAATATATTATATGTTTATAAAGAATAAAAAATAAATTAATTAAAAAAAAAAGATGCATAACCTGAACATCAGCATGAAAAAAATAGCAGACAAGCAAAATTGAGCATTTTATAAAATAACTGGCCTATGGTATTAACAAAAGTGTCAAGGTTATGAAAGTAAAAAAAAGACCACGTTTAAGTGTTCCAGACTGAAGGTGCCTAAGGAGACATGACAATTAAATGCAATATATGATTCTGAACTGGGTCCTTTTACAGTAGAGGACATTATTGGAAAACTGGTAAAATGTGAATGAGCTCTGAGGACTAGACGGCAGGAATATATCAATGTCAATATTCTGATGTTTGTATTATAGTTATGTGGTTATATAGGACAATGCCCTTGTCTGTAGGACACAGACTAATATATCTGTGGTGATGGGATACTATGTTAGGAAGGAACTTCCTCTCAAATGGACAGAAAAAAAAAAGGTTCTCTTGCAATTTTCCTGTAATTGTGAGATGATTAAAAAAAAAAAAAAAAGGAAAAAAGAAAATGGTTGCACTAACTTGCAAACTTTCTTCTCTAACCTAGTCTTTTGTATCAGTGCCTTGCATATATTGGGTGCTCAATAAATGCTTTTGATTTGCTGAAGGACAAAAGAACAATGTCCCAGAAGGTAGTAAGAGTAGAGGAAGTGAGACTGGTTAGAAAGCTACTACAATAGTCCAGCTAAAATATGGACTGAAGTGGGAGGAATGGTCATGTCACATAAGTAAAGATTACATAAATCTTTAGAACACAGAATTCAAAAGCCTTTGTGTTCTGGAAAAGGGGGAAGTGAAACAAAGAATGGTGTAAAGGATGACTCCCAGGACTGTGGCAAAACCAACTGGATTAATAACATTTACTACTAAAATGGAAACAAAAGTGGAAGAATAAATTCAGGTGAGGTAGGGTGGGGCTCAGGGATAATGAGTTATTTTAAATATGTTTAAATATCCTGAATTAGAGGGACTTATAAAACATTTCAGTAGAGATCTGTGTGGGTAATATGAGTCTGAAATTTAAAAGGAAGGTAAAGTCACCTAGGAAGACAGTGCCACACTAAGAATAAAAGATGGCCTGAAACAAAACTTTAAAGGCTAGGAAAGGAGAAATACCCAGAAAAGGTGACTTATAAGGTACAACCAAAGGAGGTAAGAAGAAAGCAGTAAAATGTTATGTTAAAAACAAAAACAAAAACAAACAGGAGAGGAACATTTTAAGAAGACTTAACTGAAGTTAAATGCTGCTAAGTCAAGGAAAACAATGTCAGAATGTATCCATTAAAGTTCATGATATTGACGTCATTACTTTGTAACCTGGTAAAAGCCAGATGGGCGAGGTAAGAAGGCATCAACTCTTGACATGGTTTACTTTAAGGAAAGGGACAAACAAGGTGGCAGACAGAGTGGAATATGGGGTTGAGAGAGATTTGATTGTTTTATTTTTATTTTTATTTTTTTTAAAGATTTTATTTATTTATTTGACAGAGAGAGATCATAGGTAGACAGAGAGGCAGGCAGAGAGAGAGGGAAGCAGGCTCCCTGCTGAGCAGAGAGCCCGATGCGGAACTCGATCCCAGGACCCTGAGATCATGACCTGAGCCGAAGGCAGCGGCTTAACCCACTGAGCCACCCAGGCGCCCGATTTGATTGTTTTAAAATGGGAGAAATTTGGACCAAAAGCCACTGAGATAGTTAATGACACAAGAGAGAGGACATAATTGAGACTGTCCTCCATATTGGAGAGTCACTCAGGGTCCACATATTTCAGAAATTCTTTTTTATTTTTTTTTGAAGATTTTATTTATTTGAGAGAGAGCAAGAGCGAGAGAGAGGGCATGAGTGGGGTAAAGGGCAGAGGGAGAAGCAGACCCCTGCTGAGCAGGGAGCCCAAAGTGGGGCTTGATCCTGGGATTTGGGGATCATGATCTGAGCTGAAGGCAGACGCTTAACCAACTAAGCTGCCCAGGCACCCCCATTTTCAGAAATTCTTATTTTAGAAAAGTTCAAGTGATTTTGAAATGAACATTGTTATTCATTAGAACTGTAGGATGGCATTTCGTCTGAAATCATCTAGTCCCCTCTGAGGTTCAAAGGAGTTAGGTAACTGACTTATCTGCTGCAGCTCACATGGTTACTGTATGATAGAGCTAGGGCCTGAGGACTTCTGACTTTAAACGGCATGCTCCTTCCATGATCCCAGGATGACTTCATATACCCCTCTAGTTGTTCTGTAGACCCACATCTGGGGTTATGAGGTTGATTAACATGGGGAGTGGAAGGAGATGTGGGTTGGATAGAGTCTGGCTACATTCTAGGGCTCTGGAATCCCCACTCCCGTTTCACAGAAGGAACCAATCCTTCTGTATGTCTAAAAAATTAGGGTCCTGAATGAGATTTTTAATTAAAAAACAAAAAAAAAGAAAGAAAAGAGAAAAAGCTCATAGGGGAAAAAAAAAAAGCAAACCGTGGTCAAAGATACGTAAAAATATACCTATTTTAAAACAGGCTTAAAAAAAATGAAATAGGCTTACCGGGTAATGGCACTGAAAAGTCCACGGATGCGTGCTTTATGTCGAGCTACGAAAGCTTCAGTAAATATTACTCCTCTGTTATCAAGATCAATGTGTCCATTAATAATTCTACCTAGTCGCTGAGTTAGTGCCTGGGGGTAAAGATGCAAATTTTTATTAATTTGAAAGAACAAAATTATACATATATAATTGTATAGTCTTAATAAAGTCATGCGGCTAGTTGATGTTGTATTACCCATACGATTGAAAATTTCAACAAACACAAATTCAGAGGCTCTATAAGCTAAAATGAAGATTTAGGATCTAGGAAACTTTATGTCAGAGCAAAATCGAGAATTCAGTGAATCAAATAGCTAGTATCTTAAAAGGCTTTGCTACTTGCTAAGAAGGGCTATTTTTTTTTTAAGATATTTTTTATTTTTTTATTTTATTTTTTAAAGATTTTTATTTATTCATTTGATAGAGAGCACAAATAGGCAGAGAGGCAGGCAGAGAGAGAGGGGGAAGCAGGCTCCCTGCTGAGCAGAGAGCCCGATGTGGGGCTCCATCCCAGGACCCTGAGATCATGACCTGAGCTGAAGGCAAAGGCTTAACCCACTGAGCCACCCAGGCGCCCCTTTTTTAAAGATTTTTTAAAAATGTATTTATCAGAGAACAGAGAGCGAGCATGCGAGCGCACAAGCAGGCAGAGGCAGAGAGGGAGAAGCAGGCTCCCTGCCAAGCAAGGAGCCCATTGCAGAACTCGATCCCAGGACCCTGGGATCATGACCTGAGCTGACGGCAGCGGCTTAATCCACTGAGCCACCCAGGTGTCCCAAGAAGGGCTATTTCTAATGTAAAATAAAAGTGACTGCTTAAACAATTTTCTAGATATAGGCAGCCTGAAACATAAAGGCAGCCAACATATATACATGGGTCTTCAAGAAGACCCTATCTGGAGCTTTGAACACAGAGTAAAATAAATTTAATTCCAAGATTCTGAAACCTACGCAAACATTAAGACATAAAAAGTTCTCTTCTCTGATGCAAATATTAACAAGTTTATCTGTGCCCAGAGATCTATACTAGCAGATAACATGATTCCCTGGTAATCCCGAGAATATTTCTAGGACTAGGGCTGGGGTCAGGTACATCTGAAATAAGTCTGGACATATTTCACATCCCAAGATGAGTTAGCACTACTCAGGGGAGTAGCTGATACTTTTCTGATATAGAAAAATGCATTTCAACAATTTCTTAATGAGCTTTTAGAATACTGCCTGTGATAGTCAGAAAAACTAGAACTGAAAATATTAAGAACACATACACATTTCCAGAATGTGTCAACAGTGCAGTTTCCTAAGAAATCATTTGGGTCTGTTCTGATACTCCTAAAACGTGTTTTAAAAATAAATTTTTGACCTTCTGTTATTAAAATATATTTGCTCACTTAAAATAAAACTTAGGCTCTTGAAATGCTATATAAAATAGGTCTGTATTCAAATGGTATTTTAGATGCCATAATAGGAAATCATTCTTTCAAAAAATGGGTGAGTAAATCTGTTTGTATTATAAATTAGTCTCATGCAATTATGGTTTGTATAATTTTGTAAGCTGAATTTTCTTGAAGTGATATATACCTAAGAAGAGATTTGGCTTTTCTCTTATTTATTCCAGTAAATACAAAACAAAATCATCATTTATTGAGTACCTCCATTGTTCCAGACATCTCACTAGATACACCATGTGTATAACCTTACTAAGTCTATGAAAAAGCTAATTATTCTCATTTCAAAGATATGTAAATTGAAGCACCAAAGAGTTGAAATAATAAACACTAAATAACTAAACAGTGGCATAAACGAATTCAAATCAAAGCCTGTTTAACTCCAAAGCCCATGCACTTTCCATTGTACAAAATAAATGTCTGGGGGCGCCTGGGTGGCTCAGTGGGTTAAAGTTTCTGCCTTCGGCTCAGGTCATGGTCCCAGGGTCCTGGGATCGAGCCCCGTGTCGGGCTCTCTGCTCGGCGGGGAGCCTGCTTCCTCCTCTCTCTCTACCTGCCTCTCTCTCTGCCTACTTGAGATCTCTGTCTGTCAAATAAATAAATAAAATCTTAAAAAAATAAATAAATAAATAAAAAATAAATGTCTGTAATTCTAAAATACCAAACACTTTAAGAACAAAGAAATAATCATTTCTAAATGATCTCATCAGAGCCATAAATGTTCAGAAATATCCCCCAAATAAACTGCTACAACAGCAATAGTCAAATACTTGCAAAAAATCAAGTAAGGATACGAAAATCCAGTTTTTTTCTTCCAATTAAAATTCTTTATTTATCTGAAAAGATATTATATTATTAAGAAAAAATACCTGTGTCAGAAAGTTTCCAGGAAGATCATAGGTTTTACACAGCTCTGATATGGTGACCTGACCACTTTCTTGTAATTTATCATTTACCTCTTCTGCTAACCGATCCAAATAGTTCCTAATAGTTAAAAAAACAAAACAAAACAAAACAAAAAGTAATGATTTTCCTCTTTTATGTTTAATTTCTGTGCAATAAAATATGCCAACAAAATAGTGAATAGGGTATGTTTAGGTAAACTTGATTCGTGACTCATATTCTCAAGATTATTTTTTTCTTATCCATGTAAATATGTAAGGTCAATCAAATGATAAGTGCTGGGATTTTTTTTTTAACAATGTAAATACAATGTAAATTCCTTCAGTCATTTTTCATTAATATTTTTGGAAGAATGTTTTGCTTTCAGAGTTAAGATCGTATAGGAAAGATCATAAAAGTTATGTGTTGTGCTGCTTTAAGATAACAGGAAAAAAAATCCAACTTTTTATTATTTCCAAGTACTCCATACAATCAAGCATTTATTAAGTACAATGATCCTAATAATGAAAATCAGCACTATGAGAGTTCTAAACAAAATGCCAAACTGGTCACAACTGTTCTAAATTTAAACACTAAATTATTTTTAAATTTAAACACTAAACTGTTCTAACTGTAAACATGAAAAAAAATAAATACAAAAAAGTGCTCTTAAATACTGTACTTACTCATCTATCAGTTGTCCCAACACTAACTGAACATGTTTTTCTGATTTTACAATGTCACCAATTCTACTTTCAATATGAGTCAGATCCACATTAATTACCTGGAAAATAAATAAAATTCTGTTAGTGATAAGTTCATATTGTTTCTTGAGTTTATTACATATTAGAACTATAATATTACATATTAGAACTATAAATACAGTTACTATTAGAACTATCTTCTTAAAAACTTTCTCTTAGATGAATTTCAAATTAATTTGAAATATTGTGAAAAAGTCTCAGTCAAATAAAAAATTAGAAGCTTATTGCTTACTTTCATTTCTGAACAATACATTTTCACTTGCTAGTAAAGTCTGCATTAAGAAGCTATATTTTCATACAACAGGCACCACTTACACAAGATTTTCCAGCCTCTTGTATATAGTGTACCTTGCTAATGACATGCACACTTATATTTTCTAGAAATATCTTCTACTTTTAAAAATATTTTTCTACTCCTTTCATATACTAAAAGCATGTGAACATGAAAATTATTTTCCTCTCCAAATTGCATTAACTCTGTGACTACATAAAATGACAACTATGAGTTTATCTGGTAAAGAATAAGCAAGTAACTGAGAAAGAAGAATTTATTTTTTATTTATTTATTTTTCTAAAGACTTTATTTATTTATTTGACCGACAGAGATCACAAGTAGACAAGAGAGGCAGGCAAGGAGAGAGAGGAGGAAGCAGGCTCTTGGCAGAGCAGAGAGCCCGATGTGGGGCTCAATCCCAGGACCCTAGGATTATGACCTGAGCCGAAAGCAGAGGCTTTAACCCACTTAGCCACCCAGACGTCCCAGAAAGAAGAATTTATTAAATCATTTAATATATTAGAGCTTATTAAATTGATTAAATTTATTACTGAGGACTCTAAAACTATTTCTTCACAAACATTATACAAATACAATACCAGTATTAATGAATATTTAAGTCACACTATCAAAAACTTGAGAGAGGAAAAAATTTTATAAATTTAAAATTTACCTGTTGCAGATCAACAATGTTCACTCGACCTTTAAAGAAAAGACATCTATTAATGTCATATTTACATGTAAGTACACGCAAGCCAAAAACTGTAAATGTCGACAGATTTACATTATGGGCAGTCGAAGTCCTCCTTCTACAAAGGACATAAAGCCACAATAATTAATGTTTTCAAATACAAACCATTAGCTGAATAATTATTTATGGCTGAAGGCACAGGCAATAATTTATTTTTGAAGTTTTATCTGTCACATCAGGCCAGTAACAAACATCAACTGATACACAAGTTGGCCAGACCTACAGACTTAAGATTTACCTCCTATCACAATTTATCTCCTGTGACCAAAGGGATACAACTAAATTCAGAGGAACTTTTAAAAAATTTTTGGAATGAGTACATTTCCACCTATTGGCAAAAGAAAATCTGTTAAGTATTCCAAATTATAGCTAATATTTTATTAGTATTATGCTGGAAGATGAATCAGCACCAAGGGTATATCTGATAACATCTACTGAAGAGTTGTTTTCATAGTTGCTTCTATTTTAATCAAATAGTATTCAAATTAGCTCAGTAGTTTGTTCAGATTTTAAAAAGACAAAAACTTCATATGCTTGTAATAGCGTTTCCTACAATAGGTATAGCACCATACTGCTTGCTAATTTACAAATACATAAAGGTAAGTTTTTAAAGAGTGTGGTAGTATAGCCCCATGTTTCAACAATCTATAATCCTTTAAAATCTCTGTTCTCCTTTCATAATTACCACCTGATAATAGATAGCTAAGTAACCTCCCTTGAGTCACGCAATAAACTCATGAACTGTGAATAGAAACAGTTGATTAATTCACCTATAGGAAATATAACTCCTAAAAATAATATTATTATAATAATAATATAATTGGGTGGTCCTATACCCTCCAAATAATTTATTATCTATGTTTTAAGTTGTTTTTTCCCTTCCAAATAACCAGAGGAGAAAAATAAGGAATTACTTACCACCTCGGACATGTAGCTCGTCTCTCATTTCTTTACTAATTTGAGCTGGTGTAATATATTCCTTCCCATCAAGTGTGTGAACTACTTCTAGCTGTTTCTGAGCAATCAATTTATTCACAATCTCAATGCAGTTCCGCTCTGACAACCTGAGAGACACAAGAAGTTTTAAAATACACTCGATACATTTGTGCTTAACAATGCATGAAAACGGGCTTTTTAACCCACTGAGCCACCCAGGCGCCCCGAAAACGGGCTTTTTAAAAAAAAAGTTTGGATGAATAGTCACTAGGGTCTATATTACAAAATCTGTATCTCTTATTAGTAATAACCATACTGATTCAGTAAGTTAAAAACAACAACAACAACAACAATTCTTGGGAGCAAGCAGGTTTACATAAACTTAAATCATGTACCTAATTGGTACAAACCATTCTATCACAGAATTTCAAGTTTGCTCCCTCCTCTGGACCTGCTTCTACTCTTCAAATCTGAATAGAAAAGTGAGGACATATAATTTAGATAGGAAAAAATCCTGCTCTTTTAACTTCAATTTACAGTTTAAGGTCAATTAAAAAAAAAAAAAAAAAAACAGAATTTTCTTTTAAATTAACTGTGTGATTGTTTCTCTACTACTATTGGTCCGTAGGCAGGATATGGCCTAGGAAAACCATGATGGCAACTGTTATCCAAGCACTTAAGTATCTGCCCTAGTTTGCTCTCAGTGCTACAAAATACCGTATTAAAGGATTTAAGGTCTTCAAGCCCCAGAAGGCACAAAAACATCAAAGGTGAGAGACAGGCCACAGATAGATAGCATTCTGTTAACACTGTGTATGTGTTCTGTAACATAAAAAAAAAAGCAGAGTTAGGGTGCCCAGAACACATCTCCCCAAGGTTAGTGGGTTTGCAAGAAATGCCAGTGTCCAAGGAGTCCTTAAAAATGACAGATGGGACCATGGGTCTGGCCTAGCACAACTCTTCTGACGCACAAAAAGGCAAAATGTTTCAAAAGAGTCAACATAACATTCGCTAAGTACTGTATTTTGGCCTTAGCCTCTCCTCTCCGGCTTATTCTAGGTCAGGTAATGTACAATAGGCCATGATGCCATAGGGACTTGACGGGTAAATAAGGCTCAGAGGGACACTCTTAAAACAGCTTCAAGTCACCAGCCTCGGCCATCGAGAGGGCGGGGCGCGCCAGCTCCTGGCTTGGGCATGGCTGCGGGGTTCGGGGCGTAGAAGCTTTCGGGCTTCACCGCCGAGTATACTTGGAACTGCAATCCAGGCTATGCGAGATAGGAGAAGGCAGAAATGGTGACACAGGGTGGGAGGCTGCGGGGTCCAGAGCCAGGGATCCCCGGCCTCAGATCTCGCGTGGCTGCCAGGGGCTATTGTGGACTCCGCAACGGAGAGGGAGGGTCGGCACCTCTGTGTGGCCTCGGCGAACTGCGCCCGCTGGAAGTCAGCCGCCAACCGCCTAATCTCTTCCCAGGCGTCCGCCATCACAGGCCCACTCGCCGAGCCGCCGAAGAACTGCCGACACGTCAGCCTAAAGGCAGCGGGAGCCGAAGCGGAATAGGCCGCGCGGAGGGACAAGAGGCTCCTCCCCCGACGCAGATACCGAGCGCGCGCGGTCCGCGCAGGCAGGGGCGTGCCGGAAGAGCCGCGGCCCCGCCCACCTCGCATGGGCGGGGCGTTCTCCGTGTTGTGTAGCTACAGGTTTTAGCTTTTGGGAGACAGTACTGAAGGTAGGTACGCAAACTTTTTTTTTTTTTTTTTTGCACAAAGGTGACTAATTCGGGTACCATAAAGGCTGGGAATTGCTTTAATCTCATTCTGGATTTAGAATGTTACTTTTTCCTATTTCTCCTCTGGGGAAGGTTGGCTCCATCAAGCAATGAAGAAATAGAAACATACGATGATACGTATATACAGTTATGGATGAAATGAGAAGGCAAAGGACACGTTTATTTTGCTTTCCCCTGCATAGATACCAGTAAAAGTTATTTAATCTGGAGTAAATTTCTTGTCCCCTTTTACTTTTATACCAAAGTCTTCACTTTAAAAGAAAAAATTTGTCATTCCTTTTAACTGCATGCCCTATAGAGTTGGTGAAGGGGGATTGTTACAGTTTTTTTCCAATCTCAGTATCTTATTCGGGGTGACTCATATCCAATGCCACAAAGGTACTTGTCCAGTAGAGTTCCCAGCTTTATTTAAAATGCAGAGAACATAGTCACGAAACCTGTTACTAAGTACTGCCGCCAAATAGCCACACCATCTGGCCATGTGATTGCCAACAAAAAGGTGGAACAGCAGAAGTCAAGAAGGTAACTTGGAAGAGAGTGAGTGGTGTGGTTCCAAAGAGTATCAAGCTTCAGAACAACCAGAAACATTCATTCATATAACAAAGACTTACTGATTCTCTATCAGATACCATGGAATACTTTGGTTGGTAAGGCAGACATGATTTTGCCATAAACAATCTGTAAAACTAATAAAGCAAATTTTTAAAAAACATACTCAGTATACACTATAATGCAGTAGGGAGGTATAGTGTATCATGTGACCACTTGGCATTCAAACTTCTTCCTTACCATATAAGTCTCCATGAGCCTGGATTCTATTTTTTGGCAGCATCACACCACATGTGAAGTACTGGCCTAGACACACCAAACACTTTCAGGACTCCATATCATTCTGGAATGCCTGTTCTATTCCTCACTGCACCATACTCCCATTTATTTTGTAACTTATTTTTCCATGATGTTCCAGATTAAATAAAATAAATCTCTTTAATGAAATTAAATAAAATTCCTTTTTAAAATAAAATTCTTTAATGAAACCTTTTAAAATTTGTACAGTTATTTTGTATGCAGTGTCTCCACAATTCTTTATTCAGGTATCTATAATAGCAAGCAAAACTGCATTTCATTTTTACTTACTACATTTCTAAATAGTTTGAACTCCTCAATGTTCCATAGCATTAGTATGACAACTGGTACATAGTGCCTGATATATTTCATATATATTTAATAAATAAACCAGTGTAAATGTTTTGGTGCAGCATTTTATTTTGGTTTAATAATAACATTTATTCTCTTTTTTTAAAGATTTTATTTATCTGAAAAAAAAAAGATTTTATTTATCTGAGAGAGAGAGTGAGCAAGAGAGAGCTGGAGTGGGGGGAGGGGCAGAGGAAGAGGGAGAAGTAGACTCTCTGATGATCAGGGAGCCTGATATGGGGCTCAGTCCCAGGACTCCAGGTTCATGATCTAAGCTGAAGGCAGACAATTAACCAACTGACTCACTCAGGCAACCTCATTTACATTTATTCTTAGGCAATAATTTCTAAAAAAGGAATAATTTATGATTATATTTTCTAGAGACTAGACTAAAATGCTAGCCACTAGCAAGATGAAGCTATTTAAATTTTAATTAAAATTAAATAAAATGATACCAACAATGAACAAGTAGAATTTGAAATTGAAAACACAATGTAGACTACATTAGCACCACCAAAATGAAATACCTAGGCATAAATTTAGCGAAATAGCTACAAGATTTATATGAGAAAAACTACAAACTTTGATGAGTGAAATCAAAGAAGAACTAAATAAATGGGAAGGTATTCCATGTTCATGGATAGGAAAACCAAGGGGGGGGGGAATCTCATATTGTCAAAATGTCAATTTTCCTCTGATCTATGATTCAATGCAATCCCAATCAAAATCCCCCCCAAATTAATCGGTGGATATCAACAGACTTATTGTAAAGTTTATATAAATAATAATCAGAATAGCCAAAACAATGTTGAAGGAGAGCAAAAAGTTGGAGGACTGGCAGTACCCGACTTTAAGACTTACTATGAAGATAACCTAATCAAGATAATGTGGTATTGGTGAAAGAACAGGAAAATACATCAATGAAACAAAATAGAGGGACCAGAACTAGACCCACATAAATATAGTCAACTGATCTTTGACAAAGGAAAAAAGGCAATACAATGGAGAAAAGATACTTTTTTCAACAAATGTTGCTAGAATAATTGGACATCCACAGACACACAAAGGAATCTAGATGCACAAGTTACAGTCTTCATAAAAACTAAATTTGGATCACAGATCTAAATGTAAAATGCAATGATAAAGCCCCTAGAAGATAACTAGAGAAAATTTAGATGATTTTGGGTATATCAATGACTGTTTAGATACAATACCAGAGGTACAACACATGAAAGCAAGAATGGATAAGCTGGACTTGATTAAAATTAAAAACTGCTCTTCAAAAGTCAAAGTAAAGAGAATAGAAGATAAGATAAACTGGGAGGAAATAGTTGCAAAAGATATATCTGATAAAAGACTGTTATCAAAATGTATGAAGTCCTAAAACTCAACAGTAAGAAAGCAAGGAACCCAATTTAAAAATGGGCCAAAGACCTTAAGAGACACCTCACCAAAAAAAGGTATACAGATAGCAAAACAACATATACATGTTCTGCATCGTGTCATCAAAGAAATGCAAACAAATAAGATACCATCACACAGCTATCAGATTGACCAAAATCCAGAATACTGACAATGCAAATGCTGATGAGGATGTGAAGCAGTAGGAACTCTCATTTGTGGCAGGTGGGAATGCAAAAAGGTACAGCCACTTTGAAAGACAGTTTGGTGCTTTCTTACAAAACCAAAAATACTCTTACTGTATAATCCAGCAATTGGACACCTCTAGTATTTACCCAAATGAGTTGAAAACTTATGTCTATGCAAAAACCTACACACAGATATTGAAGGCATCTTTATTCATAATTGCCAAAACTTGGAAGCAGCTAAGATTTCCTTCAGTAGGTGAATGGATAAATGAACTGTGATACATCCAGACAAAGTAATATTATTTGGCACTAAAATGAAATGAACTATCAAGTCCTGAAAAGACGTGGAGGAAACTTAAATGCAGGCAACTAAGTGAAAGAAGCCAATCTGAAAAGGCTACATACTGTATGATTCCAACTGTATGACGTTATGGAAAAAGCAAAATTATGGAGACAGTAGAAAGACCAGTGCTTGCCAGGGGTTGGGGAGGGTGGAGGAATGAACAGGCAGAGCACTGAGGATTTTTAGGGCAGGGAAAATACTCTGTATGGTATTATAATGATGGACATGTGTTACTATATGTGTGTTCACACCAGTAGGATGTAGGACACCAAGAATGAGTCGTGATGTAAACAATGAACTTTGAGTGATTATGATATCTTAATGTAAGTTCATAAGTTGTAAGAAATGTTCCTCTCTGGTGGGGGATTTTGATAATGGAAAGGCTATACATGTGTGGGTATGGAGATTATATGGGAAATCTCTATACCTTCCTTTTAATTTTTCTATGAACCTAAAATTGCCCTCAAAAATAGTGTTTAAAATATTAAATAAAATTTAAAAGCTAGTTACTCAGTCACAATAGCTACCTTTCAAATGTGTAATAGTCATATGTGGCTCATAGTTATCTTACGGAACAGTATAGAAAACCATTTTCTATACTGTCACTGAACTTCACCAGAACTTCACTGGAAGTTCTGTGGGACAACTCTGACTTCGAACTTTGATAAATGCACATGTTTGTTTACTCTGAGATCCTAAGACTCAAAACAACGATCTGAACTTGGCAGCCATATATACCTTAACCGCAGCAGTACCAGTTATTTTGAAGGGGGAATAAGAATTTGAGTGGGGACCATTTCCAAGTTGGCTAACATTGTGGTACAGAGTAGAGGAGCTTTAAGTGATCTAATGTATGAATAGGGTAATGGTAAAAGGTACAAGTGGCTGCTGAACAAGAAATGAGAGATTCCTTTCAAGAACAAACTTCATGTAGATTTAGAAAACAGAGCTTCAGGGGCATCTGGGTGGCTCAGTGGGTTAAGCCTCTGCCTTCGGCTCAGGTCATGATTTCAGGGTCCTGGAATCGAGCCCCGCATCGGGCTCTCTGCTCAGCAAGGAGCCTGCTTCCCCTTCTTCTCTCTCTGGCTGCCTCTCTGCCTACTTGTGATCTCTGTCTGTCAAATAAATAAAAATCTTAAAAAAAAATAAAAGAAAACAGAGCTTCAGTTCTCTAAAAACAAACAAACAAACAAACAAACAAACAAAAAAACCTTTCTAACAGCTTGTGTCTACAAACGTAAGTAAAATTTTGACATGTATTATGTGGGAGGGACTCATGGTCTTTTCAGCTACAGTAGGTCCATGATTGTGACACTGTCCTCAGACTCATTTTAAATTCGAAGACTAATAAAACATTCTAACATAATGTGGATTGATGGTTTCTTTGATAATATAAGATGTGATACTATAAAGTTCCTCCAAGATAAACTTTTCTTTTAATAAAATTTGAAGCATTTTCCCCCATTTACTAGTATATAATAAAATTTGAAGTGCTTTCTCTACCCCAACTAGAAAAATAAACCGAAACAACTGCAAAATGTATATTGTCAAACAAGTCATTGCAGAGAAATTACAAAGACATTGTGTT